AGTTAGCGGACCTGTCAGCAGACTAGTTAGCGGACCTGTCAGCAGACTAGTTAGCGGACCTGTCAGCAGACTAGTTAGAGGACTAGTTAGCGGACCTGTCAGCGGACTAGTTAGAGGACCTGTCGGCGGACTAGTTAGAGGACCTGTCGGCGGACTAGTTAGAGGACCTGTCGGCGGACTAGTTAGAGGACCTGTCGGTGGACTAGTTAGAGGACCTGTCGGCGGACTAGTTAGAGGACCTGTCAGCGGACTAGTTAGAGGACCTGTCAGCGGACTGGTCTGGCTGCTTGGAGGGAAAACAAAGTCTGAGTGGTAAAAATAGACATATGCCTTTAAGGCCGTCTAGGATGTGGGCGTGACTGAGTGCATCCGCAATCCAATCAGAGAGACTTCCTGTCCCCGGCTCTTTGAAGACCGGATACTTCCTGTCCAGCGTCTCCCCGCGTTCTCCTCTCAGCTCCACAGGAAGTGATCCGGCTGAGCAAGAAGCAACTTCCTGCTGAAGGAGTCGGAGAGCTTCGCTTCAGATTCACACCGAGAATCTGCTGCTGTTAAAACAAAGCTGGACCAATAAACAATGATGGACTAGAGACACTTAGAGACACGTGGAGACACTTGGAGACACTTGGAGACACTTGGAGACACTTGGAGACACGTGGGGACACTTAGAGACACGTGGGGACACGTGGGGACATGCTGTCTCTGCTATTCTGTGAGCAGCTGAGAATTTGAAGCTTCTTAAATATGAACACATTTAGTTTCATGATGTCACCAGGTGACTGAACCAGCCAATCACTGATCAGATACTGAGAACAAATAAATGAATGAGGAGCCAAAACTTTCCCCAGACGAACAGAAAGTGAAGTTGTCTTTGGACATTAAGATGAACAATCTAGAGTTATAGATCTAGAGCCAATGCACAGCTTCAGTTCTTCTAGAGATCAGGATGACCTCTGACCTTCAGAGCCACATAAAGACGGTTCCACAGTCGGCCTTCAATCAGCTGAAGAACGTTTCCAGGATTAAAGATCTGCTGCTGTTGGACCAACCTTCCAGACCTCCTAGAAGAATGCTGCTTCTATGGTACATAGAAGCAGCATTCAGCTTCTATGCACCACAAATCTGGAACAAACTTCTAGAAAACTGCAAACAGCTGAAACACTGAGTGCCTTTAAATCAAGCTGCTCTGATTAATAATAACTGGAACATGTTTGATTATTTTAAAGGCATTTGACAAAATGTACTGTTTTCTGCTAGTTCTATAATCGGTGACTTCATGATGGTTTTAGGTTTTTATGTGAACTTTTAGCTGCCTTGTGGCTGAAATGTGCTTTACAAATAAACTTGGAAAAAGTCCAGCTCTTTATTATCTTCATCAAAAATGTGAAAAATAATCAGACATGGAGAATGAAACAGTGACAAACAGGGAAACAAGAAATACAAAAAACTTCCTGATTACTGATGATGAACGCAGGTATGCAGTGACTCTGCACTGATTAGTCAACAGGAAATGTTTATCAGCAGATTTAAACTGAACTTTAGTTAGCATTTCAAGTTAGCGACCAGAACCGGACTGGACAGAACCGACCAGAACTGAACTGAACCAACCAGAACCGGACTGGACCACAGTGTGTAAACTGGATGTGTTGGTCCAGTTCAGTATCAGAACCTCTCTGGTTCTGATTGGTTGGCTCTGTTGTTTCCTCACTTCCACCATGTCTGTGTTTATCTGTTGGCCTCAGAACCGGCCCAGTTTGATCCCAGTTTGATCCCAGTTAAAGCTCTGGGTGGAGCAGCAGGATTCCCCTGCGAGGCGTGTTTGTTTTCTCCACCTCGGCTGCTGGCCGGGTGGGATCGTTACTGAGTCATGATCAAACGGAAAGCCTCGATCGATCCAGTTAGAAACCAGCCGGGTCAGCGTCGGAACCCGGCTGGAAGGTTCTGGTTTCTGCTTCCTCCAGTAGAGGAAGGGGACCCATCAGCTTGGATCCCAGATGTTTGTCAGAACCGAAGCATGTGGGTTGAATCAGCGGCCGGACCCTGCAGCGGCCGAGTGGCGTTCAAACGCGACCCAAAAGTCAGACGTTTCAGTGTTCTGATCATTTATGCAAAGCTCCAGTGTATTGAAAGTCGACCCGGTTCCATCAGACTGTGGGTTCAAACATCATCAGTTTTGATTGGCTGGTTTGCTCCTGGTCTGGAGGGAAACCGCTGAGTCCACCAGAATCCGTTAGTTGGCTCTCCCACTTTCTCCTGCTGGGTGGAGTCAGGTGGGGGGTTCCTGCAGGAAATGAGCTCAGAGTTTCTGTCAGCTGCACAGGAAGCGACCGTCCTCCTGTGTGCAGATGTCGGCGCTCCTGCAGGAAGCTGTGGGTGAAAATGGCGTGGCTTCCTTCCTGCGGCGGCCCGTCTGCGGAGCGGGAGGAAACCCGAACGCAGGGCGGCGGATTCCTCCTGCCGAACAAACTCCAGCAGGTCCGACATCAACGCCAAAATAAGTCCCTCAAAGTCTGGATTCTGCTTAATTATCCCTCTGATTCATTATTAATAATTTACAGAAACACAGACAGGAATCGCTACTTAAAACATGTACTTTTCCCTTAATAACATGACCTGAAAATTTAAAATTAATTAAGTAATATTTGACAAAGTCACTAACAAAAAAGTCGCTAGTTTTGTGACTGACTGCGTTCGGAACCGCCGTCTGACAGAACCGGGCCGATCTGGTCCAGTAAACTGGAGATTTAGTCTTTGCTGAAATGATCAGAGTAGAACGCTGAAAGGTCTGACTTCCAGGCCGTACCTGAACGCCACATGGTGCTGCAGCAACCCTCCCATCAGGTTACCATGGTACCAGACCAGCAAACTAATCGGCTTTTGTTTTGGTAAGAGTTAGCAAAAAGAAAAATGGTGGAAATCTTTGGAAATGAAACAATCAAACTACTAAATGTCTTAGTTTTGGTAAATAAATAAGAATTACTGTTAAAATTTTGAGATCGGTGACTTTAAGATGCAGCTGAGGTTTTTTTGACGCACTAACAATGGAAACATCTGTGAACGTTCAGCATTTACCCAACAGTAAACCAGTAAATCCAGTAAAACCAGCGCCAACCTGCACAGCTTCAGCCAGACTCCGTCTCTGTCCGTCCACCAGGACGAAGGGACGAGTTTTCTCCAGGAAGGGGCGTCTCTGTCTGTCCGCACCTTAAAGACAGAGCGAACCCTGAGTGACTCCCATTCAAATATCTAGATTTTAAGATGTCAACAGAAAAACATTTATTCCAGTTGTTAAAAGAAGAAACTCATTCCAGCAAATAAAAACCCAAATTTAAATATTCTGTTCTGTCCAGACGTTGACCTTAAGAAGCTGTTTGGTCACAGAGGGATGCATCTAAACACATTCATGGAAAGTTGAGTGGAAGGAAGAGTGTTGTGGAAAAAGTTTCATCAGCAGCTGGAAGCCGTAGTCGGCAAAATACCAGAAAAAAACACGAAATGACTCACATCAGTCTAAGGCTTATTTACCAAAGTCAACTAACTTGCAGAAATATTTTAATTTATTACAAAGAACCTGTAAAAATAATTAAGATTTATCTAAACCTTTCCGCAAAACCATAAGCATATTTAACATTTCCATGTTTGTTAAATTAGCATTTTTTGATAAAATGGAGTTAATAAATAAAATAAAAATGTAAATTAATTTGTTTGTTCTGATTATTTCCTGTAGTTTCCTGATTGTTTGACCTTTAACCTCCCTACCGGTCAGAGCAGCGTCCATCTGGACCTCCGCAGACAGAACCGCTCCGTCCTGCGGTGCGTTCAGGGACCGGCAGACCATGAACGCCGCACGGCCGCCCAGCAGCAGCAGCACCAGCGGCAGCGGCGGTCCGGCGGCGCCGCTCATCCTCTCTGTGTCACCGGAAACCGGCAACAGGTTGCCGCTGTCCGCCGTGCGAGGCTCTCCTGTCCCGCTCCGGTTACCTCCCGTTGTCGGAGCTCCGGGAAAGGCTCCACCAAGACTCCATGGCGCCTCTGTTCCCAGTGAGAGCCCGATAAGACCGAACCGAGCGGGTCAGGGTTCCGGACTACCAGCGGGACCGTTTATCGGTCCCGTTAATGCGGTGGGACTCCCGCCCTGTTCCCGAACTGCGTAGTTTCTGGTAAAACTGCAGCTATCTGGAAGGAACTGCGGAAAGGACCAACAGAACCGGTTCGGTTTCAGTCTGGTAGTTCCGTCCGGACTCACGAACTTCTTTCTGTACGAATTAAAATCGCTGAAGGCGGCTCATAATAGGACACCGGAACACCCGTGTTTATACCGGGAGCTAACGAAGACGTCATCCCGCTGAGTTAAGCTACGCGCAACAGACCGGATATGCTGAAGGTTACCCATCAAAATAAGCGCACCACACACTTTACGAAACTTGTTTTTAGCCCTTAAGCAGCATTAAACAGATCTTAATCTGTTTTAGAAACTTAACGCAAAATTTCGTTTATTTTTTAACTAATGTTATCAAAAGCAGAAAATGTTGAAACATTAAACTTCTAAATACATTTTACTTTGAAAACCAACCGGAACCTGTATTTAAACGCCCGTTGAGCTTATTAAAATGTTGTATGTTGGTACAATAATATTTACACACCCACCGGACAACTTTGACTCACGCACCTCTTCATCTGAGATCAGAGATCTGTGTATGCAGGAGAGAATATGATGGATAATTAAACTCATCAGTGCCACATAGACAAATCCTCTGCAATAAATACTTCCTCTAGATGCCGCAATGTGGTCAAATACATTTTTTATTATTTTATATATTTTTTCTGTCTTATCTGAATGTAAAACATTATGGGGGGAAAGTTGTTCATTATCTTGCCGTATTTAAATATATAACAAATATGTCTTTATTCAGATGTTTTATTTAAATATATGTATTTTTTCCCCACATTGTCATAATTTCTGTATTTCAGCCTAAATATTTCTTTTCAGATCCTTCATGTTTCTGCTTTTAAGTTGATAAACTACACAATCAATAATTTGCTTCAATAATGTGGGTTATTTAGTCATAAGAGAAAAAAAATGGAGTTTATTATTTAAAGTTCTGTCTTCATGTTATTAATTCACTATAAATATCACAGTTCCAAACTAAAGGTTGACGACCAAGACACATATTTAGTTAGCAGTTTGGAAGCTAAGTCTTTAACTTCACACTAAATATTTAGTCAGCAAGCTAAACATTAAGGTTGAAGCTAAATACTGGTTTACAAACAAAACATTTGGCTCCAAATTTAACTTCAAATTAAGCATTTAACCACAGATCTGGCAAGCTAAAAGGTAAACCTCATACTAAAAACTTAGTTATCAAGCTAAATCTTTGACTTGCAAACCAAATATTTAGCTCCAACTTGAATATTTAGCTTTGAGCTACACGTTTAGCTTCAAACTAAATATTTAGCCATTTACTTTGCTAACTGAAAATTTAGTTTGAAACTGCAACATTTATAAATAACTAAATATTTAGTTCCAACCTGAACATTTAGTTCTAATCTGCAGGTCAGACTAAATATTTGGTAACTCCTCGGTTTTTTCTTTAAGTAAAGCTAATTATTGGTGTTAATGTGACCGTGTGACGCCCACTCGGTGCCCGGTCCTGGTGCAGGCAGGCGGTAGCAGGATGGCAGCACAGGTTAAGGTGTGATGGTTTCCAGGCTGAAATGATGTGCAGCAGCTGCTGAAGGCGGGCTGCAGGTCTGGATCCCAGCCGACTGCAGCAGAAGCAGAAGGATTAGCGGCTGCTGAGGTCAGCGGCGGTTCAGAGGAACAATCTGATCCAGAGTCAGTGTAGAAGCCTAAATTCAATTTTAGTTCATTCAGACCTTTAGGATAAATTATGTTTAGATTTCTTATGGTAATTTGTTTATTTGGATAAAAATGATCACTAGTTAAATCTCTATTGCATACTAATTTGTTACATTGGGTTATACTAAGACCTTCTTGTAAATTTACATATGTAATTGGAGTTAAGGATTTTAGGGTGTGGCCAGGCAGAATCAGTTTGGCGGTTGGAGTGGAGCCACAGTTTTTTGACCTCTCTCTCTCTTTTTCTCTCTCTTAGGACTCTTTTGTTTACTCTATTATTTTTGTGGAACAGTAACATTTTTGCCGTTTTTATTTTTGAAGTAAACCGTTAACCTTTATCAAGAGAATCCAGACTGGGTTTTTGTCGTTTTCGTCATCAAGTGGACCGAAGGGGAAGGACGGAGAGCGTCAAGCTTATTATGGCTTCATTATTTAGGAACCTACAGTCAATTGGATGAAGCAGGGCTGCATGTGCTGCGGCGGATCAGCTGCGGCGGTAATCACATCACGTGGTCAAACCCTGGGCTGCAGCAGAAAGAGGAGCAGTGAACTCTTCCTCTTCCTCCATGAGCGGCGCAGTCTGAGTCCAAAAGTATTCATACACCACCAAACTGCAGAGTTCTGTTCCGCTTCCGGGAGAGGACCAAGATGTATGAGAGAACACATGGCAGCATCATGCTGTGGGACAGATGGGTGGGGCTAAATGAGAACATTCTGGGCACAAACCCTGCAGGAGAGCTGACTGGGGTCAAGGGTCACCTTCCTGCAGAACAACAACTCCAAACAAACAGCCAGAGAGAGATCAGTGGCCTAGTCAAAGCCCAGACCTGAGCCTATTTGTGGCAGGACTGAACTGATGTTCAGAGACATTCTCCATGTTTTCCTAAGAAATGAGGAAAAGTTCAGTTGGTGTGAAGACTCTGAACTCTGACTCAGATCAGATCTGTCGTTTTATTGCATTATTGACTCATTTGCTGTGGCCTGTTTGTTCTGAAGAGCCTCTTAAATATGGCTGACATTTCAGGGAAAGTTGTCGTTCTTCCAGATGATTTTCTTTGCATCACATTTATCTCCGGTTTCTGTCTCCAGTCATGTAGGAGGAGGTCGCGTTTTATTTGGGATGATGAACGTTAGTGACAGCGTCTCCAGGCGGATCCCCGGCTGGCGGCTAGCGGCTAGCTGCTAGCGTAGTGAGTCTCCTCCTGGTCTGAGGCATCCTGCCGGGGGTGACGAAAGAGACGGCGCCCCCACCTGGTCAGGCGCTGAAACATCTGCAGGCAGAGAGCAGAAGAAGAAGCTGGAGTACTGTCAATAACACACTGCAAAAAACTAACTAATTTAGTTTGAAAAATAAATATTTTTTTGGTGACTTAAATATTTAGTTTGGAATGAATGAATAACGGAGGCTTTTTTCTCTACGATGTGCTATAAACCAAATTATTGCTGTTAGTTTTTTACAGTGTAACTGGACAAACGGCTCTGTCTGACAGACTGAAGGAGGACAACATGCTCACCGTCCCCGTCCTCCGTCCTCGGCTGATGTGCGTCCTCCTTTTGGGGGACGACAGCCGTCTGTGGAGCTGCAGGTTGTAGAGGAACAAAACGCGCGTCTTCTCCCTCTGCACAGACAGACAGGTGGACAGAGAGACAGACAGGTGGACAGAGGGACAGACAGGTGGACAGAGGGACAGGTGGACAGAGAGACAGGTGGACAGAGAGACAGACAGGTGAACAGAGAGACAGGTGGACAGAGGGACAGGTGGACAGAGAGACAGACAGGTGAACAGAGAGACAGGTGGACAGAGGGACAGACAGGTGAACAGAGAGACAGGTGGACAGAGAGGCAGACAGGTGGACAGAGGGACAGGTGGACAGAGAGACAGGTGGACAGAGAGGCAGACAGGTGGACAGAGGGACAGACAGGTGGACAGAGAGACAGACAGGTGGACAGAGAGACAGGTGGACAGAGGGACAGACAGGTGAACAGAGAGACAGGTGGACAGAGAGACAGACAGGTGGACAGAGGGACAGACAGGTGAACAGAGAGACACCTGTCATGGGAAACGGTTTCTGTCTTGTCCCATGTCTTTGTGTCCTCCCTCTAGTTAAATATAGTTTTAATGATGAACTCCGGTGCTGTTGGTGTTTTTACCTTTGGGTTGTAGAAAGCTGCGATGACGCGGCGCAGGCGGTTGGTGTAAACCTGGACACAGCTGAACAGCGCCACCACCAGGACACAACCCACACAGCTCGCATACGCTTCAAAAGGGAGGCGGGAGGGGGGGGACATGCATGCTGAGGAGGAGGAGGAAGTGAGTTCAGAGGAAAACGGTTCCTGCTCTTTACAGTCTGCAGAGCGAGGAAGCTGTCGCCCCCTGCTGGGTGAATGTGTGTCCAACACCCTGCCAGCTGCAGATTACCAGCAGAAAAACCAGTTTAAACAGAGCCAGTGCCAGTTCAGACCACAGGGCCAATTCAATATGATTCAGTTCAATATGAATCAGTTCAGTGTGATTCAGTTCAGTTCAGTGAACTGGGACTCACCGCGGTTGTCGCTCTGGACGTTGGTCTCAGAGGAGCTGTTGAAGCCAGAGATGGTGGTGCGCAGGAGGCGGGCCATCATGGTGTCTCCGCCCACGCTGATGTCGATGTGATGGCTGCCTGCAGGAAGGGGGCGGAGCCATCTGACTGACAGTCTGGAGCTTTTCCCTCCAGATGGATTTCAAAGATTTGATTAATGCAGATTTTTCATTGGGTCAGAATAATAGCTAACTCGGACTTTCTGTTTCCATCAACAAGTTCTTGTCCTTCTGGTTGATGTTGGACTGCTCTGCCATCATCAGTTTGAACCGGTTTGAACTGGTTTGAAGTGGTTAATTTAAACAGTCTCCCAGCTGTTGATTTGAAACGAAGTTAAAGTATTGGGAGGTTGTCCTCCTCCTTCATGATTTGATCCACTGCCAGAGGTGGGTAACTTACATTTACTACATTAACATTTTAAAAATATATATTTTTACTACACCGTACATTTTACTGTTACTTGGGTAACAATAGTCCCAAATGTTGCTACAGCTACCAGAGTAAAATTTCTGGCTACTATGCTCACAGCCACTGATATGCTAATAGTGGAGCTACTTTTTTTCAACTTAGCGTTTTGCTAACTTTGACAATGTTTAGCACACTTAGCTTCCCCACTCTTTAGAGTTTAAAAACTTTCAGTTGAATAAAGTTTAGTAACTTTAACACATTTGTGTTAAAGTTTTAGATATCAACTGTTAAGCAGTTACATGTTTACATCTCATTTTGAAGTCTGCTGCTTACACAGCAGTTCCATTTCCTCTGCACCTGTGATGTTGTGTTGCTACATCACTGTACCCAGAATGCACCGCTCTACAGTCTTCTGACCAAATCCTTACTGTGATCACTTATGCTAAATCAGCAACAGCGTTATCAAAACTCAACAACTATAAAACTGAAGTCATAAGAGAAAGGTCTGATCCAAAGAATCCTTCCTGAAGTGCTAACCGCACAGCTAGCTGCGTGACAAAGTGTCACAGACACATGTGGGTACAAACATGGGTGAAGTTAGCGCATTTGCCTCCACTAAACACTGTGTTAGCACATCACTTTAGCATTAGCGGAACTAAAGTTCATCAAATCAAACCAAAGTTTATTTATATAGCGCATTTATAACAACCTCAACTGACCAAAGTGCTTCATAATAATTACAATAATAGCTATATTATAAAATAAGAAATAAAGTTAAGCTTGCAAAAAAAAATACAAATAACATGATAAAATGTTCAGACAAGGTGGGTAGATGACTGGCTGTTCACACTGGCACCTTCTGGCCTCACCTAAAAGTGTGATTAAAGCTTTAGCGTTAGCCAAACTAATGTTTATGATTAGCACTGTAGCATTAGCAGAGCTACATGTTTCACTCGCTGTGTTCCTAGGTTTTCCAGACCAGATCAACCTGACCGACCGGTGTGTGTGTGTGTGTGTGTGTGTGTGTGTGTGTGTGTGTACTTGTGATGTTGAACTCTGTGAAGGTGTGTCTGCTGATGATGTCCAGGACGTGGAACAGGGAGAAGTCGATGGCCAGCAAGAGTACGGACAGCAGTGAGATGGCCAGAACCTGAAAGCCTCCTGAGGCCTGCGACACACAAACAGAACCAGCTGATGATGAGGATGATGAGGGTGATGACACCTGGCGGTTTCCATGGTAATGGAGGTTGCAGCGGTTCCAGTCACCACTTGTGTCAGCTCGTCAGAGTTGATCTTCAGACTCATCGGGGCGATGAACCGCTTTCTCTCCGACTTTCTGAGAGGAAGCAGGAAATGTTTCCCCTGAGAGGAAAGAGGAAGAGACAGTGAGCCTTCATCACTGTGACGTGATGAAGAGGAGGATGAGAGGGTACCGCTCGTCTCCTGCGCTCGTCGATCCGTCTGAAGTAGGAGGTGATGTAGACGTTGTCAAAAGAGATGTTTGTCCTGTAGGAGCGGAGGTACTGCACCGCCCTGAGGAGGAGGAAAACGAGGAGGAGGAGGAAAAGGAGGAAGAGGAGGATGAGGAGGAGGAAGAGGGAAAGGAGGGAAAGGAGGAGGAGGAGGAAATGGAGGAGGAGGGGGAGGGAACGGAGGAGGAGGAGGAGGGAAAGGTGGAGGTTGAGGATGAGGAGGAGGAAAAGGTGGAGGAAGAGGAGGAGGAGGAGGAAAAGGAGGAGGGAAAGGAGGAGGAGTAGGAGGAGGGTTAGGATGAGGAGGACGAGGACGACGAGGAAGAGGAAGGAGAAAAGAGGAAGAGGAGAAGGAGAAAAGATCAGGATCAAAAGAAAGAGGAAGGAAAGAAGAAGAGGAGAACCTAAAAGAGGAGGAGAAGTAAAGGGGGAGGAGGAAGAGGAGGAGAGGAAGCAGCAGCAGTGATGATGAAGGTAATGTTACTGGTCAAACTGGTGATGAAGGTGTGGATCTTACTGGATGAAGACGGTGACGAAGGTGAAGGACAGCAGCATCTGCAGGACCTTCACCCCCTGGTCCATCCTCTTCGTCAGGCGCTGGAAGGATTCCCTCACGGCCTCAGTGAAGACCCGGTCCAACGGAACTCCGTCCAGAACCGACTGCTGCTGCTCCTCCTGCTGGACGGCAGGGGTAACGCGTCAGTTTCACCGGGTCTGCTGGTTCTGGTGGTTCTGGTGGTTGTGGTGGTTCTGGTGGGTCAGGTGGGTCTGGTGGGTCAGGTGGTTCTGGTTGGTCCGGTGGGTCTGGTGGGTCAGGTGGTTCTGGTTGGTCCGGTGGGTCTGGTGGTTCTGGTGGTTGTGGTGGTTCTGGTTGGTCCGGTGGGTCTGGTGGGTCTGCTGGTTCTGGTGGGTCTGCTGGGTCTGGTTGGTCCAGTGGTTCTGGCGGTTGTGGGGGTTCTGG